ATGGCGTTGTTCTAGCACCTGACGCAGTGTGAAGATTTGGTCAACACAACCCCTACCAGGCCGGAATCCCGCTTGCTGCTCTCGGGTCAGTATCTCACGAGCCACCGTAAGGCGACGAAACAAAATTGACGCCAACAGTCTCGTTACAACCGGGGTCAGGCTGATCTCTCTGTGGTTACCACACTCACCAAGGCGACGAAGCACGATTGACAATTGCGCTCTAGATGAGTGCCGGCTGGTGAGCACGACAGTTGTTGTTCAAAGTATTCAGCCCACCGGTCGAGGCGTTCTTCTTTGCTCGAGATGGTCGTTCCATTCTGATGCTTGATGGTTTCGCTCACAGGTGGTTTCCGGGTACCGGCCGCACGGATCAACTGAAATAATCTTCGGGCATTACCGGCTTTCTGGGCGTCTTCCATTTCTTTGGCTTTCTGTGTCCACCATACTTCACGGTCGGATCGCACTCACTTTCACTTGACGTCTGAGGGCTCTTCGCATCGGGTTATGTTCGGGACCTCCTGGGATATTTCTTCGAGATTTAAGTAGTGCCACCGTTCGGTCTGATATCCAGTGCTTGAGTGCGCCTGGTTGGGTCGTGCCACAAGCAAAATTCCAAGGAATATGCAAAGAGGTGGCAATTTCCTCCCAGTATGAGTTCACATCTGATGGTGGAGCACTTGAAAGAGACTCTAGAGGACGATTCTTGTAAGTTCGTCTGACATCCGTGTTTGCCAGTCTCAGTTGCCATGCGATTTGTTCGCAACTTACGCGGCCCCTGGAAACGTAGGGAGAAGCGACTCCGGACGAGCGCGTGCTCAGAGTCCACAAAGGTGTTTCAAAACGACCGGCAGTCAGTTATGGATCCGCGCCATCGGTAACTGATGGCAACGTGGTCGATTTGAGTTTGTGGCCGGCCTGTTGTAGGAGGACACCAAGTGGCCAGACGACTTCGGCTATTTCGGAAGTTAGTACTGCATAAAAACAGCCTGCGATCAGCACACAGCTGAAGCAATCGTTCCCCATTGTCCGTACGTACCGAGTCCAGTCCATGTCGACCTCCCAATTGAGTCTCAGATGCACTGAGCCTGCCCACTTGCGCATTCATATCTCCGGCAACCACCACAATGTCTGAGCTCTTAGCTCGCCGCAGCAGAGCATTCAGGACGTCGTAAAACCTGTCT